TCATAAAAATAATGTCTGTATCCATAAGGTGATTGATTTTTTTTTTCTCAGTTCACCATTACTATGTATATTTAGCGTACATATATCATCCGTATATTAACTGTACGCACCTAGGGAGAATAAACAATTGTCGGAAAAAATATCAGCATATCAAAAAGTGTGTGTCTTTTCATAAGAATGCTCCATACTACAGGATAGGCTAATCTTTAATAGCAGAGTGATATATATAAGAGTGTTCAACCCTTATATGATTATAGCAAGATCAATTATAATGTTTTACAAATACAATTTACTCCTGACTATGACTGGTGAATGGTGCTCCTCTTTCATGAGTTTCCATGGTACGCTATTAGAAAATTATATATATATATATATATATATATATATATTGATGAATATAAATATACCTACGTTCGAAGTGCGAATAACTAGTTATATGGTTTATGTCCACATTTATACACCCAAACACACACACACACACATGCATATATATATATATATATATATATATATATATATATATATATATATATATATATATATATATATATGTATGTATATTATTATTATTATTATTATTATTATTATTATTATAATTACAAGCCTTATTATAGAATATTTGAATTCGCCCCATTTTCATTTTAAACAGTACGTCTATTGGCCTGGGTATTCGAGGGATATAAATAAAGAATACGTTAGCAGAAGCCGCTCTTTGATTCGGCGTGGATTATCACTCGCCTAGAAAGGTTTTATTTATGTCTTTATGATGAAAGCACACTAACTCAAAATATTTTTCTTGAAAGACTATTACAGATATATAAACATATATGTGTGTGTGTCTCTGTGTCTCTGTGTGCCCGTGTGTGTCTCTGTGTCTCTGTGTGCCCGTGTGTGTCTCTGTGTCTCTGTGTGCCCGTGTGTGTCTCTGTGTCTCTGTGTGCCCGTGTGTGTCTCTGTGTCTCTGTGTTAGTAATGCAGAAAATTAAAGCTGACATTCCTTCCTCTGTGTTCCACAGTAAATAAATCAAATTGTCGGAGTATTTGAGTGTAACATTTTAATAGTATTTATTGCCATTACTTCATCATTTTTTTGAGAAAATCATTCCAATTCTATTGACTATTTGTCTTGAAAACGTTATATTCTAGAAATACGCTTAACGTCATTTTTTTTTTTTTTTTTTTTTTTTGGCGAATTGGATTTGGCGAAACACAATCTTCGTTATTGTTAATATTATAAAATTCAAAATATCGTTATAAATTCTTTGAAATACCATTGAAATTTATAATTTTTTTTTCTTAAAAAATCTTTTCAAGTGAATGGGTTTCTCAAAAGCCCTTACTGTTATCTCTCGTTCTCCTTGATGAGGGTTCCCTTCTTAACGTTCTTTTTCAGGTAATGTGATCGTGATTATGTCATCACGTTCTTTTCAAGTTACATGCACTTTTAATATTAGTCTTTACTGCTGTTGGTTTTTATTGTTAGACACTTTCATGACGGTCGTCCTCGAGTATAGAATCCAGAGGTTGGCAGTGAATATTTCGGAGACAGTAGGAAAGCGTAGTGCAGGTTCGCAGTGGATATCGTAGCAGAGCGTAGTTCTTCCGTCTGTCATGTTCGCCGGACAAGTTGCCTCTGGTCCTTCCGCTAGGAGAAACAAAGATGGCCGCCTTTATACACGACGAATACAGTGTTGTGCGGCTTCTGATTGGTCAACCTTCTATTGGTCGACTATAAAGGGAAATAATTCATTCTGACTCGCTCACTAGTTATGTGGACATATATACCCAAAAAACCGTAACATTTATTAACTTGTAAAATTCTTTCTTTGACATACTTTTTTTTATCCATCTACGAGATACGACGAAGGCGAATATTCTTCAATATCCACTGGTTTCATTTTAATTCGTAATCTGAGTAAATGTATGTATATAGCATACTTCTGATTGGTTTGCATACAATACATGATATTCATATGCGTATATGATATGACTATTTAAGAAAATATCCCGAATTATGTTTTTAATGCTGGAATAAAGTTATTCTTAAAATTTGATAAATTTTCCTATTGCTTTATTAAAAGTTCAAGTAAAAATTATCATTATTACTACAATTTTGAACCAGTTGATATCTTGCCATTTATTACTCCCAAACATACCTGCTTACTGACCCGAAACTCCACTTGTTCTCACTGTTTTATGGTTTAACTCAAAAATCGTGCTCATCCACGGGTTGGCATGTAAGGTTTGTTCCTAACCCCTGGATACTGATTCGCATTTCACTGGCTATGATATGTGGGCAGATAGTGGATCTAACTGAATTGGAGTGTGTTACACTTGTGATAAACCCGATGACAGGTTGATGTATGGGCCTCAACCAAGAGGGAAAAGAAAAATACATATTGCATCCCCACAATAGAGTAGAATACTCGTTCGTAGAAAACTCGAAAGACTCACACGTACTCACAGACATATAATTTAAGTCAGGAGTTGAATAAATAGTAAAATTACGTTGGTGATTTTTCGTCTTTTAATTAGTCTGCAGACGATAACATTACACTAGATTTCATACTGTTGTAACCGGGAACTAAAAAAACAGGAAGTACCGTTTCAGTTATTGTTTAGACACGGAAGTACCGTGTCGGCCATATTGGTATGTATGAATAAATTGCAGGAGTATCGGTTCTAACGAGAAGTTACAATACTATAACCGTGTTTTCGTTATTATTACGGACCCATTACTAAATTGTGACAAATACAAATAGAGTGATTTAATGAGAAAAATAGTGTTTCCTTAATAAACTCCGCCAAATACAAGGTTAAAGAGCCACTGAGTTTTAACGGATAGTCTGTGTAATATAAACGCGGAAACAAGGTTTAAGAAAGAGATTAACGGTGGATACATAACGAAAGAATCTATACTTGAAAAGTTTATGGTTGTAGAGATCGGAGAAATCGCTTTTAATGTTTCGGCTGTCAGTCCCTTGGCAAATACTATTATATATCAGAAAAAGTACAAATTAAATCAGACAATATATTCAAATACGAATACAAGCTCTACCGAAAACATCGAAGACATTTTCCGATAATTTTGTCTGTAATGTTGGCAGTTCACCCAGAAAACGAACGTGAGAACTTAATTAGGAAGAATTCCTAAATTAATAGCGTTATAGGCCCTCAGCCATAGCCGCTCTATATTATCTTATTCAAATTGGCAATTAACTGTGTCTTTAATGGATAAAAAATAGTTTTTTCATCTCACATCTTGACACCCACTAAATTGAATAAATCAATTCCTGCCATTATCTACAATGCGTTTCTTCTGATATACTTTTTTCTTTTTCTTACAAATACATATCTCTTTTTCATTTAGTCTACGTGATTTCAATCACTCGTGGGTATTTTTCACCAGCCTGGACCTCCGAGATTTACGAATAATTTGCGAGTGAGGTGATTTTGCTTTAGTATTTTAAATAACTTTTCTGTTTCGTATAAATTCAGTTTCAAGTTTATGGTAGTAAAGTCTGGATAGAAATATTGTTTAGGGATTAACTGACTCATTTTCCTGGTTTATAACACTTTTTAAAATTATATAACGCCAAAATATATATTTTAGATGTTAAACAAATTTGAGATAATCATGATTTACTAATATGAGTTCTACTAAATAACCCATACATGAGGAAAATGCTGCTACTTGATTTGATTTGTTTATTTAACAGCATATCAAAAACTTATGGGTAATTTAATGCAGAAATATAATTTTCTTGAGGGATTTAAAGTAATAGAGTTATGATATATGTTATTCTGCTTTCACAATTTTGGGCATATACACATTTGTGTGAATATAATTATATGCGTTTACGTCGTAGTTTTGTTGAAGCTATATTATGGGATATAGTTTGCTTTCTTTAAGAGGTTGTAGGATATTATATAGAATAATATCATGAAGGAGTTCTTTCATGTTGGTCATTTTGTTGGTTGACTTTGTTTGTCGATTGTTGTTTTTTTTTTGTTTCACCCCAAGCAAGCCGGGAAGCCATTAGGACGCAAGGGGTTACAGAAGATTTGGAGCAAGATCAGAGAGGAATGATAGAGAAAAGGATGAGTAGAAGAATAGTAGATAGATCACGGCAAATGGAGATGTCGATTGACATTACATTTGAATAGTTGGAGATTATAGCTCTCAAGGAAACTGGACTAGGGAAGGGAGTTCCACAAGCGAGAGGTGCGAGATATGAAGCTATTAGAGTAGAAGAGACAGCTACATTTAATACTTTCGACAGTGAAAGGGTGCGAGCGGGATGCCAACCTCGTCGGGCGCTTGAATTCATGAAGTCTGGGAACCAGCGAATAGAGCTCCTCGGAGCAATTACCATGAAAGTATTTGTAAAAAAGACAGAGAGAGGCGACGGCGCGTCTGTGGGAGAGTGACTGTAGACAAGATGCCAGAACAGGGCCAATTATATTGCATATCCGCCTCTGGATCTTATCAAAAACACCGAGGCAAACAGAAAGGGTTCCAGACCATATATGGCAGCAATACTCCATGCAACATTTATAGATTATTTATTGCCGAAATATAAATATTTTGAACAATAGCTTCAACTTGTATACTAAAAGTAGTTATTTTTGGTAATTTTACTATAAATATGTGTTGTTAGAATTTTTAATATAAAAATGTAGTTTTATACTTTCCTAATGTTTTATTTTTGTTTTGAGCTTCACTATTTGTCCAGATAAAAGCGTGAACCAAGGAAAAACAGCAATTAAGATGTGGTTGCATGCTCCTCCAAAGATTCAATCTCCTGATCAGCGGCCTTGTTGCTGGATATTGTTTATCGTCATGCTATGGACTATTAGGGCAGAAGAGGTGTATTCCAACCTTTACCAATCTATCTGCGCGTTAGGAAATATAAAGAAACCGCCTGGAATTGGAACTCAAATCACCGATTTTTACTTCCAAGCCGTTATGCGCAACACCACCGCAAATACAAGCCTCAAGCACATATTATTCCTGAGAGGTCGCCCATCTAAATACTGACCAGGCTCGACATTGGTTAACTTCGGGGACCATAAGGGAAGCGGTATTTCAACGTGACATGGCCGTAAGTTTGGATAGAAATTTGACTCTTTATATGCTTATTACATTTGTAAGCATATTTCAGTAAATGCATATTACTAAACAAATGGAAAGGCGAAATAGAATATTTGCAAAATATTTACTTTCACTATCTTTGAAAAATAATTGAAAGTTACTTTGGTCATTTCACTTTAATTCGTCCCCTCTTGAAAGGAAATGCAATCTCATTAACCAATCTCATCATTCTTTCTTTAATTATTTTTAGATTAATAGATATTTATACAAACTTTGTAATGAAAATTGTCTGATTTTTTCTATAATCAATACATACTGGTTAATACACTTATATTTAATTATTAATATATTAACTTTTGTTTTCATTGACTTTATCGCATTTGTAAAACAAGTACTTTAATGTCACTTGTATTAAATAATTTAGGTTCTAAGCTGAACTGAAAGATTAGCTCATTTTCGTCGTCTTATATAACAAAGCAAACATTTATTCACAAACGAATCCTTCCAGAAGTAAAGAGTCATGTGATATGAGAGAGAAGGATGATCTATTTTCTGTTTGCTAAAGACGAACCGTTTGGGTTTTAATTTTACTGTTTTTCTGCACAATAATGCATTTAAACGCCTTTAATTTAATGTTAATATTTAATTTCGGCTGTAATTGTTTGATAATCGTTTAAACGACTCCTTTCATATTTCGTTATAACTATTTTTTTATAATTGCTTTTGAGATGGTGAAAAGGCTTTCCACCACGACGTAGTCACTGGTGCTTTCGTTTAAGATTGGGTTTAATTATCAATTTTCTCTCATCTATTAGTTTTCTACATAAATTCCTTCGTTTTTATAGTTTATTTTAATACTTATTATTTATTAATAACTCCGATAACTTATACAACAATGCATTCCTCTTAATTTTTATAAGCACCTGTAAACCACCCATTAACTGTTTAATTCCTCGACGATAGAAATAACTATGTTTTGACTGGAACAATTCATCAAGCCACAATTCATGGTCCACATCGTTGTTGATTGAAACACCCCTCAAACTGATAGAAATCGACCGAAGAATGTGGTAGTTTGTAGGAGCTAAATAAAAATAGGTAGTTACGGCAGATCATGCTAACTGAGCTCTTTAATTGCATATTTGGTCATGATAGCGATGTGGGAGCGACATTGTTATTTTGCGTAATCACATGTATCGCCGGGCAGGGGTTTTTAGCTAAATTGCCACTTTAAGCCTATTGATTTGTTCAACATTCAGTTTAGCATTGCCTTTTGGGCGTACTGGATTCTTTTTTCTTTGTACACAGCACAAATATCTCGAGCAGTTTTGGCAGCATTGTGACTTTGATTAAAAGCGAAGTGAAGATGATGTCAAAAATGCTCTATCTAGCATACCAACTCAAAGGGATGTCTAATCTGAAATAAAATTTCAATAACGTTAGACAAGAATTCCCCTGATGACCGTCGTTATTCTTCCAGATCAATCGAAGAACATCAGAAAGATCGAACGAATATATGTAACAATGTAAAATAATGACTACTTTCAAAAGGGTAACTGATGGGAATGCAATGGACAATAATCGACCCGTTGTTTGAGATTCTCATTTGAGATGTCGGGGAAACTACTTCACAACTTCGGATACTTTTCAAAGCCTTCTAGCGTCGCGAAGGACACTCATGAAGCTAATGATGAAGTGCCCGATGAATACCTTCCATGCTATGATTAGGTGACAAGTTGTGCGTTAGAATCAAGTTTATTTGGCTGATCCTCTTTCAACTACTTCACCAAGGATTTGTCTAAGAGAATAAGTAAGTATCTATCCGGATGATACATGATACATTCGGATAATAGTTTATATGTGCCCTTCCAAAAATATGGAAAACTATAACCTAGTAGTTCATCTCTCCTCCAACGTAGCCCAGGTATCTCGGTCGGAAAAGGAATTTCTTGTAATATTCAATACGGCCAGTGCCAAACCAGTAACGTTTCACTACCAACGAGCAGACCCTGAGATTTCACATATCTTGATGGTTCGGCCTTCTCTCACGGAAGCTCTATGTTTTGTAGGGACTCAAGGACTTCCCCAGACAACAAGTTGAACTCATATATCCGATTTAATCTTAAGGATATCGGAAAAATGGTTGATTCTCCCTGCTATACTTTACAAGAAACACATCAGAATTAAAATCGCGTATTCAGTCGTCACTTGCTTAACTTCAAAAGACTCTACGAGGTCTTGTGTGTTGATTAATTATCTTCCAAACTACAGTCACTTTGAAATACATGAAACATCGCGGGACTCACTCTACACTATCGTTATTCTCATGATGATCTATATTTCTTAATCCCTCTACTGCTGACGTTTCCAGCTGGGATCCACTCTGCCACCTACACAAGTGTGAATCATCCCCATTACCTTCGTATTGGATTAATAAGAAGTAAGCGCTATTCGGACACCTTCTTCCCAAAAAGTACTCCCGGCAGGATGCTTTCCCAGTCACTTCAATCTTGACCTCTTTCCTGCATAACCCCATGAACTTTGGCCTGTTATCGGGTAGACATTAGTATATCATCTTTAAAACTGAATTACTTTTTTCTGAAACAAGAAAATCCTCTCTTCATTCTTTCACACCTTACACTATCAAGATGTGTTGATTTTGCTGCTGCGTATTTCATTGTTTCTACAGCGTAATGCATATAGAACGGCATGACGAATGTGTTCTATAGTTGGAGAAAATGTGAGGTCAGTTTAAAAGCTATTGTTCAAATAATATTAATCGAATCGGAAAGGATATATTAGTTTATTCTTAAAGATTATATTTTATTAAATCTTCCCTAAAAATATCTGAAATATTCCGTCGATAAATCGGATAGAATTTCCATTTCAACCAGATATTTTATTATAGATATCTTTACTTACAAATCTCGGCAAATATGATAATTTTCCATAACTTTTTTTTTTTGTAAGTATTTCATCCCAAGCAATGCAACAGTGCTATGAAACGCAGGGGGTTACGGAGAGTGAAAGTGAGAGAAAGGAGTAGGTTTAGGGGTGGATTGAGGAAAGGAAAAAATGACAGGAATCAAGACAATAGAAGATGGCGATTGACGTTGCATTAAAATTTTGAAGATTGTAGGTAGCAAAGAAGCAAGTGAGAGGAAGAGAGTTCCACATGTGGTAAGTGCGAAAAAAAGGAAACTGTTGGGGTAGAAATGACAGTTACATATATCAATTTCAGCAGCAAAAGAGTGGGACCTAAGTAAATAAAAAAGAAGAAAGCAACATGACTCAAAAGTTACACTACACATTAACTCGATAAGTCATGGTTATAACAAAAAATATTACTTTTTAATCATAATGTAATTCCTTTAAAATTACTTGAAGGGTGCAGGAAATGCTTTGGTTCTTGGCGTTGTTGATTTGAGGATTTTAGTTTCTACACTCCCCCAAAATGATTCACTCTCTTTCCATTCTATGTAAATTATCGTTTCCTTTACAGTTAACACGTGCAATGGACATCTTTGCTTTTAGGATTACTCAAACACAAAAGCCTCTCAACAAATTGATAATACAGAGAGAACGCTTGATGCATTAGCATTACGTCGTGCGGGTCAGAATATCCCGATATTAAAATGTAATCAATTCCAAAAGAATATGGAACGTGCTGAGCGTCCTTTAAACGTATGCCTCTCCTTCTGCTTATTCTACATATCACGTGATATATATATATATATATATATATATATATATATATATATATATATATATATATATATATATATATATATAGATGGGTGTGCCTTTGTGTGAGAGAGGTGATAGATAATGTATACATGTATAATCATTTGGTTCGGCCTTTTCTATTTCTCACTTTGTGAAAGACATCTGGAGTCAGCAGTTCAATAGTTAAATATGAACTGAATCGAACAATTAAGAAAATGCATTCCTGTTTTCTGCTTATCAATGTGTGTGCTTTAGCGGTGGAATGTTCCAGGTTTGAACTAAAAAGGATTACAAAAAGAATCTGATGTTTGCTCATAAGATCAGAAATGAAGAGGCCAGAAAAGCCTTAAACGCCTCCGAGAATATATACACATATATATTTTAAAATTTGCTCTATTTATAGTAAATGTACTCAGTATCTATGATAGATCGTTTTTCGGTAGCGTTTGAACATAGGATTGACTGTTCCCGCCATCAACGATATTTAGAAAATATATCACTAGTCTTTGCATGGGCCCCTTGTATAGAACATTAGGATTCTATGGGGAAGTGGAAATACGAATCCTCCTCAGCATTGTGACATCAAACTTTCTTCGTTTTTCTCTTAGGTTTAATATTGTATGTTATTTATTATAACTGACGTGAGTTTACTTATTTTAAGTAATTCTTTTTATTTATTTATACATACATTTCGTTTAGTTTTCAGGTTCTACGAATCGGTAATTTGAATAAAGTTAGGGTATATAATTGATTATAAGTTGTAGGTAGAGTGGTAAAAATTTGACCTAATGCTTACATTTGGAAATGTCTTCTTCAGATATACATACAAATATACACACATATCTCTCTTTTTTCTCTCTGTCTATCTCTACACACACACACACACACACACACATATATATATATATATATATATATATATATATATATATATATATATGGATTCTCTCGCCGTATTCGACGTATGAGGGTCAGCAACTCAGTTCCTAAGTACCGACAGCCAAACACCAGCACATATAAATTAATTATAGTGGTGAAGGCTTGTATAGAACCAACTGCAACTTTTTGAGGGAAGAATACAGAGACCTGATGCACTACTCTACCATACCTCCCATATATATATATATATATATTATATATATATATATATATATTAAAAAAAACAGACCACGTTAAGGTACCATTATAATAATTTATTTCAACAGAGCCGGATCATCAGATAGCACTTCCAAAAGATGAAACGAAAAAGTGGAAGTGCTATCTGATGATCCGGCGTCCTTTAAAAGGG